GGTCTGCGCAGCGGTCATGCAACCACCCCAGCCAGCCCCAAACTCCGGGCGGGGTTAAGCCAGAAAATGCCCATCCCCAGCATTGCCTCCAAGGGGCAGAATCTCCCTATTCCACCCATAGCAGAGGTCCAACGCCTGTACTCGATTACCGCCACAAGTCCCCCCCTCCCGCCGAAGGAAATTGCTTCCACAAACCGTGTGCACTCATGTTTGAGTCAGACCCAGCTCTGCCCTCCCCCCACCCCAGGCAGACGAGAACCATTCGAACCCCGATCGGCTCTAACCTGCCAGGGCGACAGGAAACTGCAACTGCGAGGCTCGGTGAACACCAGGGCTGCCTCTGACTGGAGCACGTGGCACCCAGGCCATGCCGGCATTCGAGGGTGGCCGCCCTCTGGCTGGCCAGGGAGCAGCCGAAACCCACGTTCCTTCCACGCGGAAAGGCGCAGGGCACCACTCAAACCTGCAGCAGCTTGCTCCGCAGTGCTGCTCGCTAGCCAGGCAGAAGGCGGGCGGCTGGGGGCTGACAGGCAGGCCTGGCTGTGGAGAAGGCAGAGTCAGGGGTTTCTAAAGATCTCACAATCCCCCCCTCCCTCTCCCGCAGGGCACCCTGCAACCAACGCCGCCTGCTCACGGCAGCGGAATGGGCTGCTGCAGAGGTGGGGGCTATGGGGGCGTCACCTTGTAGGCAGGTTCCCTTTGGGGCTCCAAGGAGGATGTTCTCAGGGGGCAGGAGGGCAGAAAGGGTCTAGTCGGGCAGCGTGGGGCATCCCCAGGAATGACATTGGGTGGGGGAGGGAGCCTGGTGGCATTTGCTGCTTTCAAAACAGCCCGACAGGACAGCCCAGGGGGCTAAGAGAGGGGGATGCTGTGGGGGAGCCAGAAGGCTTGATGATGGTTATGGGGTGAACACTGCCTTGGACAATCCACTTCAGATCGAGGGGGCATTTGGGTACCAAGGAGGCTTAAGCTGGTTGGGGGGTGGGGAAGAGAAGGTGGATGAGTCAGAGAGGGACCCCATATGGCTCGATAGGGCCAAACGCCCTCCAGGGATTGCTGTGGGGTGGAGGTTTGGACATGCCATGTGGCTCAGGCCGTCCCATCGGGAGGGGGGCCTTCAAAAGGGGAGGGCTGCAAGCAGAGCAAACTCGGGCCCAGGAGCGGCGTGTACAGCGCTGGGAGGGTGCAAGGGTGGGGGGAGGGGCACCCGCCCACGGAGGCGGGCTGCCTCGGGCAGTCCAGCTGGCGCCTGGGGGGAGCTATTTCTGCATGTCGCACTGCAGGAGGAGGACGATCGAGGGGTCGCTCTTGGCAGCCTCCTTGAACTCCTCCAGGGTGATCTGGTCGTCCTTGTCCTTGTCCATCTTGGTGAAGATCTTGTCAACCCGCTGCTGGGGCGTCAGCCCGTCCTGGTTCATCCGCATCATGATGACCGTGCCCACCATCTTGTAAATGGCCTGAGGCAGGAAGGGCAGAGGAAGAGGGGTGAGGGTCAGGGGGGCAGGACTGAGGGGGATGCACAGCATGGACCAGTTGTAGCTAGCGGGGCCTCAGGCCACAGGGGCGGGGCCTCAGGCCACAGGGGCGGGGCCTCAGGCCACCGGGGCGGGGGCGCACGCCACAGG